ATTTTTTGGAACTTCTATACCTCCGTATGTGTGAGTTTAAATTTCCTGGTAATGTAATCAGCAAACGAGTTTTCCTCTATTAACTCCACAAGAATGACGCCGTACAACCGAGATCCCTCTGAAGGCCAGTAATGGTGACATTTCACCTGACAGAAAAAAGCAACAGTAAGCATAATTCAACTTCTTTTTCGCATTAATTCAAAACCTTGCGAGCTAACTGACTAATTGACTCACCGACTGTCTGACTGACTGCTAGCAGATGACCTCTGGACGTGCGAACGTACCGACGGACTGAATATGAACTAGCAGGTTGGCGGGCTGACCGGAAAAGCTGACTGATTTGACTGATCTGAACGATTGCCCGACTGACCTCACTGATTGACAGACTTGATTGACTAAGTGACTGATAAACGGACTCACGAACTGACTAGCCGACCGAATACATGACTGACTGCTAAATGGGTGAAAAACGGAACGGCCTCTCTGACTGTCTGACTAACTCACTTTAATGACTGACTCAAGAATGACAGGCTGATGATTTATTTGCAGTGCAAGTCCTCTTAAACTGCTTCATTCCCTATGCCTCTATGACGAATTAAGTCTATTCTGAGCGCAGTTTCCAATTCGGTTTTCAAATCACATGCGGGTGGAGAATTTATATGGCGATCATACTAAATAAAATTGAAACTTGCGCTCAGCGCACATTGATGGGACTCTCGCTAGCGCCGGTTTGTTCGCTTCAGTTGAGCTTACTTTAAATAAAACGAGGGAGTAATAAATGTGGCTCACAGACGTTATTGAACGGCGCTATGTACGGGCTTCGACTAATACAAGTTTTCCCATTGTTGACTTAACCTTTCTTCCTTGGAAGCTACCACTCACACTTTCAGCTCTTACCTTTCCTGCCTCTTCTTCTCTAGTTAGCATCACAATAGCTGCAGATTCCTGTTCCCATATCAGGCGCCAGAAATCTTCAAACGTATCTGGGACTGGGGCTTGAGTTGCCACGTACGCTCTTGGTTGGCAGTAACCCTAATGATGCAGCAATGAAACGAACTTTTGTCATGAAACGAGGAAAAAACGAAGGGAACGTTCCAGACGCTAGTTTTTCCCAAATAACTTGAATGAATGGGGTGCTTTGAAATTCGCTTTTTGCAGAGCTTCTTTTATTTGAGAACACAATTACTGGTTTTTATTGTTCGTCGACAAACAAACAGACTTGCAACATAAAAAAGGAACAAGCGGCTATTTTAGGATAAAGAGACACAAAGCGATTCACTTGTCACTTACTTAAGGCGTTAAAAGCCTTTGGAACAACTAAACCGAGCGACACTAGATAATGGTAGTCTTGAAAACCTATGGCAGGGATTTCAATAAATGTTTCCATAAGTGGCTGTCGGTGGTGTAATAGGCGGCTTGGCCCGGTAAAGGGGCCCCCCGGTAAGAGGCGAAACCCCAACACAAGAGCCTGCTCGCAGGCTAAACAGACGGTAGTTAACCCTTTAACCCTTTAGAGTGACCAGCATCTAATTTCTCCTTACAATATCAACCCCAAATCACTCTTTAAGGTCATGAGAATAAAGGAAATGATCACCAACTAGAGAAGTTCTGGATTATGAAACAAATTCTCCTCGTCAGCACCTTAAGAATTGTATAGGAAACAGTATGGAGAATATGCATACTGATGTTACAGCGGGAAGGGTTCAAAGGTCTTAAGGCGCAGTAAACTGCTGGTAACTGGCCTTTATTGAAAACTCTGCTATGGGTAAAGCGACGAGACCATCAATGAATAAGCTGAAATACAATTATCATACCATATGTCTTCACATCTCTTGAGCTAATTAATACCTAAGGATATCACCCCTAGTAAAAGTTGCTCCACCGAAAAATTCTCGCCTGAACTCAACACTTGCCGAGCGCGATTTAATCCATTCGATAAAAAGGTCCCAGAAAATAACGAACAATACGCCAGTGTCTTAAAGCGAATCAAACCATAACAATAAGTGAAGTTTGACATCTGTCCACAAATTATCAAACTAACTTATCATTAGATTACTTACATCAATGTAATTCGCGTTTATGTAGTCAGAGCCCATTTCTCCCGGCCTCATTTTCAAATGTACTCGAGTGCTTTCGACTGAAAAAGACGACACTCATATAGTCAGTTCTAAAAACATACACAAGTGGAACTGAAAAAAGCGCATGAAAAAATGTGCATCAGGGCAGGCAAGTCTTAAACACCTTTTGAAACCACCCAACGCTTCAGAACAGTTTGTTGTAAACGTTCACACGGCCCACACTCAGTTATCGGTTCCGATGACACTTGGTTTCTATGGAAAAGTTTATGAACAAAACTAATTTTGGCAGATATTGACAAGAAGGTTACTCACAAGGAAGAATATTTGCGTAGCGATTCTTTGAAGCATTGCAATTCAGACTGGCGCTCTTGAATGCGATTGGGTGGTTTTCTTCTTTAGCCAGCCGGCAAAACTCGTTTTCCAGGTAGGTGTAACCGGTTTCTTGATCGACCTGTCGAAGTTCCCGTATGCGAGTACCAAGGTCTTTGGCCTCGACTTCAGTTACTCCGCAGGTAATGGCTTCTAGGAGGGCATCGTGAATAAACACGTACTGCGCCTAAAAGGAGAGAAATAGCAACAGAGAATTCGACCAAACTATGTACATTTTGCAGGCTAAGATGTTTTGAATACAGATATCAAACTCGTGCTAAGTAACGTAAAAGAAGGTGTTTAGGCTTAATAAGTAAAATCAAGTATAACTTCATTTTCCAGTTCTACTGGCGACTCAAATAAAAAAAAGGGAAAAAAAGTCTTAAGGTGGATCACACTTACCTCAGTTTGCACCATGAAGTTCCTCTGAAACCTCATCTGCCGGACAAAACCAAACACGTCAATGCTATCTTCTTGGCTTATTCTCTGTAACATGACATCCAAGGTAATAAATGTTCCTGTACGACCAACACCCGCACTGTAAGAGTAAAACAAAAGGGAAATTGATCAAGGCCACGCACTCATAGCTTAAGAATAGAACCTTTATCTTTCTTTCTCGTCTTAAAGTACAAATATACATGATTAAATTGCTAATCCAAAAGCGAACACCTCCCGAGAAAATGTTTGAGCTTTTCGGTAACACGTTACCTGCAATGCACTACCATGGGTCCAACAGACTCACGATTACTGACGTAAGCGTGACGCACCAAAGAGAGTAGCGGGGTGGGGTGAGACGGTACACCGTGGTCAGGCCAAGCTGTAAAATGGAACTGTTTCACTTCACGTTCGTCTTCGGGAAACTGGACAGAAGAAAAATTTTAAATTATACGGATATTATTTTATCAAAAGAAGCTATAATGTGCCCATGAAACTACAATGATCTATCCTCCATCAAAATCTTCATTCCACAATCTAAATATCTAATATTCAAATATTCTCTTTAAAGTTTACATCGCCAGTTGTAAACAAATTACATGAATCTGGTGTTATGCTTAGAAAGAACCCCCTTCTCTCAATGGCAAGTGTACTTTTTCTGGTGTGTTTCCTGGAAAATTTGCTTAACGAGTTAAAACGGATTCTTATCAGAAAAATGTCATCTTACCAGTTTATGAGACATCACCATTTTTCTCACAGTGTAGTGGGACATGTTAAGAGTTTCTTTCAAAGTCACTTGAACTTGACCGTACTTTCTTGTACCACGTTCAGGCCAGTACTGGTCACACTTCCGCTGAATAATAAAAACACAGCATTGCGTGATACAGCAAATAGACAGATATCATTGAGGCACAGAGTGTTATGTTGTTATCGTTCTCATTTCTGCTGTTATCTTTACTTACCCTTCCCCTCTCCTCTAATTTTGTCAGCATGATGATGACTGAACACATTTGTTCCCACATCATGCGCCAGAAATCATCGAACGTTTCCATAAGCGGACCTAGAGCAAAAATGTTAAAAAAGTGTACAGTACGTAAACTCTTTAACTCCCAGATCAAATTTGAAATTCTCCTTACTGTCAACCTTACAATTGTTATAATGTTAGTTCAGAGAATTTAGTATTGGATTAACTAATTATCACCAAATTTATATTTATTTTATTCTCATTACTCATCTGGTTGATATTGTATTAATATTGTATTAATATTGTAAGATAAGATAAGATAAGCAACCTGCGGTTAACTAACCTGATCAAAACAGTTAGAGGAAAAATGCAACAACAAAACGTAAACATAATCATAACACCAACAAAAATAAACAAACAAATGTCCTTTTCCTTATTATTGCTGCACCACTTTTTCTTCTGGCTATCTTCAGTGCAGATCTTCTTTATTATCATTTTTTAATATTTATGTTATATTAACATACCTTGGGCCGCAATGTAAGCTCGCTGTCGGTTGTAGCCCTGACAATAAATGAAAAAAAAAACAACAACAAACAAATAAGAAATAATATATTTTACCCACAGACGAAATAACTAATTACCTCCCCAGTTGAGAGAATATCTATTTCCAGCACTTCACCACAATAGTCAGCGTTTCTTGTTTTGTTTTGTTTTTTTTTTTTTAACTCGAGAAGCCAGCCTTGAAAAAGGTTTGGCGTTATTTGGGGGTCAACCTGATGATCTAGAAGTGTTTATTCCAAATTGCAGCCCTGCCATTACTTGACATGACTTTCCTCACACTACTTTGTTATAAAACGCTCTTAATGATATATAGCTTACAAAGAAATAATGGAAACTTACATCGATGAAACTTGCGTTAATATAGTCAGACCCCGCCACACCATCAATCGGGTTCAGGAGCACTCTAGTGTGATCGTCTGCATAGAAAAAACTCAAATTGTCACCTTTTCTCTCTTTTGTAAACAAGAACAATAAATTATGACTAAAGAAGAAAGGAATAACAGGAAAGGAATTAATATCTTTAAAAAAAACCTACATGCCACAATGTTAGCGTATCTGTTTTTGAACTTGTTTGTAGGATTCAAAAAGTGCTGAAAGGAGAACTCCTCTTCCGGTTGAACGAGCTGTAGAACAGAAGAGTTAGAACAGTTAG